ACAGGTTGGCTGTTGGTCAAATAATACATTAATGGAACTGAAGGGCATACTACTATTTCACAAGCAAAGGAAACGCATTATGCCTAGGACACTTCTATTCATTTCTTGCAGATTTTAAGGCAGGCTCAGCAATAAAAAAAGCAAACATCCTTTAAAAATGAATGTCAGCATAGCTTATATAAGCAATGTTGAGGTTTAATTATTGTACTCACATTACAGTAGGCCTAAGTGTATTATGTTTTTCAGGGAATATCCCTGCTTTAGGTGGTCTTCATGCCTGGATTAACTAGCATCATAATCCACTTTCATAAATACACTTTACCTTCATTAGAAGTGTTTCTTTGTTATGTACTCTCTGATCAAAGGCTTTTACTTTGACTCCAAGGTATAGTACATCAAACTGCTACTAATCACCTCTTCACTGCATCTTTTATAACACATTTGGTAACTAAAAATGTTTTTATAATCAGGTTGTGAAATTTGCTGTGCAGTCCCCATTTTATTGGGAAGATGTTTCTCTATCACTTTTAAAAAAGAATTTAGGTACTTTGTGAACCTTGAAATGATGGTGGCACATTGTAATGGATTTTTTTTTAACTTTCTAAGGAAAAAATAATTAAAACAGTTTTGTTACTCTGAATTTCTGAGGGATTTGGGTTTTGTTTTTCCAGCAGTCTCACTGAAGGCCTGCCATAGCATATGGAGAAAAGTATTTTTTTTCTTTATCATGTCTCTTTATAGAATATATTTAATAGTAATTGTTTTGTAGAAAGAGTAAAACACTCTAATATCTGATTTTAAACTTGTTTTTTTCTTTGTAGTGTTAGTATTCTTAACACCGACAGTGCTGTACCCATTCCTTTAGAGTACAGTACATGATTTTTAACCTGCCAGCAGTTCTAACTGAACATGTGATTAATGAGAGGTTGAAACTAATACTTTGTTCTGTCAATTATTTTAACCAGTAGAACAATCGTGTCACACGTTTTATTAATATGACCATGTTTTAATAATTACCATAGCACATTTTATTTAATGCCTTCAGGCTAACAGTCTGATTTCTTCCCCTCCTCCTAGCAAAGCGTACATTAGTTCACAAAGAGTGAACTGATTTCCTGGTCTTTGCTGCCACCAATAAAGCTTTTGGAATATTAATGTAGAAGTTGTAAGTTTTTTCAAAAGGTCCCTATACCCAGTTTACAGATGGATATTCATATAGTTCCTGGGTTCTAAAATGCAATAAAAGTTGCAATTAAATCAGACTACAAAAAGTCAACTTGCTTGGTAGCCTGCTGGCTATGTAGGATTTGATAAAGCATTATAAAGTCAAAACAAAAAAATAGTAGTCTTCTTCTTTAATAGAAAATCATTAGGGCACTGATTCAGAAAAACACTTACACATGAAGTGCTTTACTGAATAGGGATGCTTTTACTAATCAGGGTCTAGGCATGGACTTCAAGGAAGGATTGAGTCTCTTAAGCTTTAAGGTGATTTGTGTTTTGACTTTCTTCCCTTTTTGAAATTAAAGGTAATATTTTCCATGGTTCCTCAAACAGATTTTAGTGTCCTTCGTGATAAATGGATACAGCTTTCCCCCCACCCTTTTAAATAGCCAAAACAATGGCGTTTGATAACTACTGTTAAAACTGCACAACCGCAACAGAATTTAACCCTTTGTTCTGGGCTGTGCAGACTGGCCCAAACCATGTTATAAACTGAGTATTAAAAGGTGCCTTTAATCCCCGCATGGATCTATGTATACCACAAGCTGTGGAGAAGACATATAGAGCTGTCAGTAAATTAAATATGAATGTTTCCATGATATTATATCTAATCTGTCCCCATGAAAAGATTTGGTTGGGATATAAACATTCCCTTGCAGTTTTGGGGATTGGGCTAGCACACAAACTAATATGTTTTCAGTTTAAAGCTGAATATGGTGCACAAGTAAACGATCAACATTAATGGTGAGATGTAGGTGATTTTTAAAATTCGTAGTTTTTAAAATCTGAGCTGTCTTATTATTAATACAAGAGGAAAAGCTGTTTTAAATTAGAAAATATTTTTAACCTGGCAATGTTCCTTTAAAAATAATTCTAGCAGTGGTGAATGGGGGGTGGTGGTGGTGGTGGTGGTTTCAGAACTCAGTAGGCTAAAAATATGTGTATAATTTGTGAAAATAGTGTTTTTATGTGAAGAGATGAATTCACTACACCTTATAAATCCCTGAATAAAAGCTGGTACGAAGTAGCACTTTTTAAAAGCAATTGCACTGTACATCAGATATTGGCTGAACTATTGATGAGCACGTTGAGTTTCCTGAAGAGTGAGGCACCTCATTGCTATGGAAAATTTATGCTTAGTAAACATTATAAAACACAAAATGAGATGATACATTCATTGCTGTGTAATAAGATTCTTTGTTTACAGGACATACCACAGGGCCATGGCAACAAAAACACAAATAGGGGGTCGAAGTATTCCTGTAGTAAAGATGGTGATGATTACCTAGCAATTTGTTAATTGTAGGAGTTTTACACTACTTCAGAATCCATTATCACTTTATTGTGATACTGATAGCTTGAGGATCTGTGAATGTAAATATGAAAGATTGACTGAAAATCTGAATGTAATATTAAATATATAGTTTTTGTGGTGTGATTTGGGAATTTTTCATGAATGCACACTTAGCAAATACATTGAGAAAATTTTCTAAATTAAAACCTCATTTGTTTTGGAGAAGAGTGAGATTATGATTGACTTTTTTTAAAACAAACATACGTACATTAATTGTATGCATTGTTGTTGTAGCTTTGTTGGTCCCAGGATATTAGAGACAAGATGGGTAAGCTAATGTCTTTTATTGAACCAACTTCTGTTGGTGAGAGATACAAGCATTAGAGCTTACATAGAGCTCTTCTTCAGATCAATAGAAGATATTACCTCATCCACCTTGTCTCCAAACAAACACTAAAACCTATTAGATTTTTGTTTTGCCTTTTTAAGTGCCATACCAAAATAAGGCAAAATAATTAAGTATAACCATTCTTTGTTTGACCCCAGTCCTGTAGAAACACTGACACCTACGTCTAACTTGAGGAGATGAGTAGTCCCATTGACTTCAGTAGAAGTGTGTGTGTTTGCAGGTTCAGGGCCCCTTTGAATAAAGGGAACAAAATCAAACCAGAGTAAATGAAAGTCTCTCACTGTGAAGTTTGAATCAGTTCCCATTTGCTTCCTGCCTTCCATCTTCTCTCATCCCTAGCAGTTTCATTGCATTGTTTTGTTTAATGTTTACCCTGTTCTGTAAGAGCACTAACCTTTAGAAGTGGGAAGTCACAGCGGTTAATGCAATTGTTGTATTAACTGCATAGCATTTTTGTACCCACCTTTATGTCTTGTAAAATGTTAGTGTGCTTGGTGTTGGGGGGGGGGGGGGCGGTGGGAGGGAGGGAATCCCTTGTCATCTCTTTAGTGTGTGTGCGTGCACGCGCAGCGGGAATAGAAATGAAGGAGGACAATGAAAAGGAAAAGAGGGAGAGCAGGCGCCTGTCCTTCCCTTATTTACTTATTTTTCTTAGCTCAGTGCTTTTGGCCTCTACTGATTCATTGCTTTGTTCCCATCAGCTGTGTCAGATCCCTGAAGCAAGAACTGGTAGTCGCCAAATACAATAAATTTGGAATCAGGTGGTCTGTAGGTAGACTAGGAACACAACCACAACTGAGACTTCACATCTATTTGATTCTAGAATTCCACTACCCTGCCTGTCTGTTTCAAGGTACATGGCGCATCAGTGCAAGATGCCTTAATGCTGCTGTGTTCTTTCAGTCCATAAGTGCAACGCTTGCACCACAATTGGATCCTAGCAGCTGTAGAAAAATTACCTCCAGACCTGCAGCAAGTCACAAAATGCAACGTGGCAAGCAGCTAGTGCACTGTATGTGTGTTCTTTGGACTTTGTCTTCTTCCCCAAAGGCTTTTTATTCATGTTTTATTCTATAAACAGATTTCTCCACCCATCTCCAGCCAACTATGTCTGCCTGTATTATTGTTGAAGCAGAATTATTTTTCCTTCAGCTCTTCTTCTGCATTCCTGATTGCTGATTATACTTCCAGTTTCATTTTACTGCATTAAGATTCATGGTTACATCAGATGTTTTTAATATGTTGATTATACATCTTCTTTGATTTAATATTAAATATTTAAATAACTTTTGTGGTCAGATTTGCATATGACATACATTACATGACATACCTGATGGATTTACCTTGAGAGTAATTTTGTTAAGAGTCAATGTCTTCAGGACCTGAAGAAGAGCTCTGTGAAGCTCGAAAGCTTGTCCCTTCCCCCAACAGAAGCTGGACCAATAAAAGATATTACCTCACCCATCTTGTCTCCTGTATTATGTTGGTAATTCTATGTAATAGATTAGCCCTCCTATCCACACTATACTTTGCATGTTCATGTGGTTAAATTGTATATCTCCTTCTGGTCTGAGCTCTCTGTTACAGACGTTTTCCTCTCTGATTTTCTTTTCACCCTTAAATCTTTGTGTTACCCTGGTCTGCTTTGTTTTTTCTTGGTTGTTTTGACTTTTGGTAACTTGTCTCTTTTATCTCTTCTTTTCCGCTCTTCTATAAACAGCCTCCAGGTATTTCTATTCTTTGCACTCAAATGAATCCAAACCTGCTTGATCTACAGAAGGTCCGTAGTAGCACTAAGATGAGTTCCTCTCCATCCAAGACTGCAATTTTAATAAGTTTATATGGGTTTATTATGATTAAACACATGTATCTGAAATCAAAATCTGTTTTCCTAAACAGGTAAGATAGTTGGTGCTCTAACTACAGGTGTGTTCAGTGACTGAATGGGAGTAAGCAGGCATCTCACTTGTTGTATGTTTTGTTCTAATGAAGTACTTTTTCATTTGCATTCCACTTCAGAAACCTCTGTTTTTGTGGTGCATAAATTTAATTCGTATGTTTCCTTGGTTACAGGGAGAAAAAAATGAAAATTCAGGATATTAAAAACAATATTAAAGAAGCTATAGAGGTAAGTCTACAAACAATTATTTCTTGCTTCTAAAAGCTGTTTTTAACCACTATCTCATTAACAAATATGGGGTATTTTCTCTTTCTTTGCAGACAATAGTGACAGCAATGGGGAATTTGGCACCACCAGTGGAGCTAGCCAATCCAGAGAACCAGTTTCGAATCGATTATATCTTAAACTTAGCTAACCAGATAGACTTTGATTTCTCACCAGTAAGTAAATTTCCTCTTCAGTTATAATCATACTTTTTGTTTGGATGATTATTTTTCACCTATGTCACAGTAGATGCTTACAAGAATATCATGCAATTCAATGAGCCGTCTTTACTAGGTACATAGGAACTCCCATACTGGGTGAGACCAGTTGTCCATCGAGACCAGTATACTCTCTCTGACAAAAGCCAGTACCTGATGCTGAGGAAGAAGTGCAAGAAGCCCCCCTCCCCCGCAGGCAAATGTGGGATAATTTTGTCCCGCATGAAGATCTCCTTCTAATCCCATATAGTTAGAGATAGTTTAAGCACTGAAACACTAGGTTTTATATCCCCTTCCCAAGTTTTTTTGATAGCTAGCCATAATAGCTAATGCTATTCTTGTTATCCATATAAATGATAAGTCCCTCTTGAGTTACTTTTTGTGTTGGTTAAGTAAATAAAATATACAGTAACATAACTAAAATATGCAGGACCAGATTGTGGGTTGTCCTGCCTGGGACTCCAGGAGCTCACTTCTCTCCCCCTGTTTCTCTTATTTAGCCAGCCACAATCTAAGGCAGTGGTTCTAAACCAGGGGTACACAGAGGTCTTCCAGAGGGTACATCAACTCATTTAGATATTTGCCGAGTTTTACAACAGGCTACATAAAACTCACTAGCAAAGACAGTACAAACTAAAATTTCCTACAGACAATTACTTGTTTGTACTGCTCTAAATACTATGCATGGAAATATAAGTACAATATTTATATTTCAGTTGATTTATTTTATAATTGGAAACATCGGAAAGTAAGCAATTTTTCAGTAATAGTATGCTATCATACTTTCATATTTTTATGTCTGATTTTATAAGCAAATAGTTTTTAAATGAGGTGTAACTTGGGGGTATTCAAGACAAATCAGACTCTGAAAGGGGTACAGTAGTTTTGAAAGGTTGAGAGCCACTGATCTAGGGGATGGTAGGACTGGCAGTTCTGATGGTGCACTTCTGCAAGCCAGCCTGTCCAGATAGGGTGGGGTCAAGCTCATTAGCCAGCAGTGTTGAGCTAGTGTAGGGGATGATGCATGCTATATCTTTTGGAAGGGTGGCAGAGTTCTGGCATGACTCCATCCTACATGCCACCACAGCTAACCTATCCAGAGCTACACTGAGAGTTCTCACTAGTGGACTGCCCCTCCTCACTCCCTGAACCTCATTAAACCTAGCCAATGGCTTTAAAGCCAGAGCAAGCCCAGAGTAAATGACAAAAGGTATCATTAGTTAACTTGTTTTTTGAGGATATATCTGCTGCGTCTGACTTGCTAATGCTGTCACTTGACCTTGGAGACATTCAGCAGCCCCATAAAAATACAAGGTGCTACTTCTAGTTACTTGGAAAACCACTGGAAAGGCAGTTTTGTTAATTACCTCATAGCATATGATACTTAGTTGTAGTGTTATGGCAGCAATTCCAGTGGCAAGATTCAAAAGACTTCATGGGTTCCAGAGGACTGAAGGGTGTATTACTATACTGTAACAAAGCTAGGGTCCATCTTGTCCAATATTTTGTCTCTAGTAGTGACCAGCACCACATGCTAGATAGAAGGGTGCAAGAAGTCCTGAAGATGTGGGATCGCTTGCCCTGGCAAGATTTTGACCCATCTAAGCTTTAAAAACTGTTTAAACCAGCTAGTCTACAAATTCAGCGATGGAGACATTTTATAGCTGTTATTGCTGCCGATAATTTTTCTGCATCAGTCAGCTTACACAAGGAATGTCCTCACATACCTTGTATCTAACGAACATGTCACTAATGACCAGCACTCCAATATTGAGATTGGCACAGTGATCTCACAATCCAGAGAACCAGCAAAGTTCAACAAAATCAGAAAGGTTGGGGTAATGTCTTGTTTGCCCCAAAGCCAATATAGTAAGAATACCAAAGTAGTAGTAGTAATTAGCATAAACAATCAATCCCTGTAAAGCAGTGAATCCACATAAGATTTTAATTTTAAAACTACCTCTCATGTTTTTTAGTTAAATGAAAAATCTTGTGCTTCAGTGCTACAAAGAATTCCATATTTTGAGTGCAATAGTTACAAGTATTTCTGGGGGGCCAAAGCATTACCTCTCCACTCACTCTTGCATTGGCTTCAGGTCTCACCAAGACCAGCATTTTTTGGTGCTTCAGGTTCAGACATATAATAATGTGATATTTTCCTATGATTCTCTGTGATCAACCTCTGATTTTTAAATCTGACTCTTCTCTTTTGGCTTGTTGCGGGCCTCAGAGTTTTCTTCCAGTTAGTGATATTTGTGACTTTTTTCCTGAAGCAAGCGATAGTTTTATAGTCTGGGAACAGCAAATAATTGAATAAACCGACAGTGCATGTGCACATGCATGTACAGTAAATTAAGCTGTGTTCAATATACAATGAAGAAAATCAAGAGGTCCAGCCTGTTTTTTTTCAATCCAGTCACAACCTGAAAAACTTTCATCTGGACCCTTTCTCAGTCCTGCTTGCAGTTAGAGATTCCTCTTACATATTTGGAATATCCTCTGTGCTTTTTCTCATAAATATAGGATTTCCTTTTGGTGGCTTTGAGACATGCTTATTTTGAGGGACACAAAGATCTAATTGGGGAATGCTCAATATAATATGGAATATTTGTTTGCTATTCTCTCTAGCAACATAAATGGATCAGTCCTTTTCTAATCAAACAGGAAGCCTCAAAAGTTTGCCTTATTTTATTTACAGATTAAGAGCTGAGTAAATCAACAGTCTGGATTGAAGGCAATTAGTTATAGAAATACAATTTTTAGGGAATGTTTCTTTACAAATCCAGCAAGGTTAGAAACATTCACACAATGAAGTATTTTGCGGGTTTGTTCCATGGTCCTTAGTAATAGAATATGTGTGCTATATTCATCCAGTATAAAAGCTGTCTTCATGCGTTAGAGCAAGGTAGAATTCATAGAAACAATCTTATTCTCTTTCAGATGTATTTGAACTTGTTTAACGATCTCCTCCCTGCTTCCGTTAATAAATGAACCATTTTTACAATATTTTAGTTTTGTGATAATTTCAAATTCTACTTTTTATGAGAGTTATTCTAGGGACTAATACAATCCAACCTCATAAGGATATTGTGTTGATTAATTCATTAACGTTTGTAGAGGTTTGTGGGATTTTTAATGGAAGGTACTGAAGAAGTGGAAGATATGATTGATTCTTCTGGCATTGATTCACCTGACTGACTGATAGGCCGTTGTTTTGTATTTATACAACTGCAACCCTTGGTGTCCTTGGCATGAGCAAGAGGCGTGGTCAGTGGTGTCTTTATTGTTATATAGACATCTCTAAATACTATGCCCTAAGAGCTTCATAGTGAGATCTGGTCTGTATTCTTGTGATGGTTACAGACTAGCAAGTGGGTTCTGTTAACACTGATCCACTGCCAAGACTTGAAGACATCTGGCACTCCACAGATACAGTGGGCTGGCAGAATCCTAGGAAAACTGATCGTTAGGTGATGACTTGTCAGTCATGGATGATCCCACAGAAAGAAAGGGTTAATCTGTCAATATTGGATATGAACCCCCAGAGAGAGCAGCTCTGCTTTGGGATGCTTACACACTTGTGGCTGAGACTACAGACTACCATGCAAATGCAAACACTAGTGAGGCTGGAAAACCTCTTCATTCCCACATTGATGGGGAAGTGTGAAAGAAGAGAGACAAGAATTCTGGTATTCTGAGCAATTTTTTACTGAGGGCACTGGCCCACTTCTCCTGCCTCTCACTCAGCTGGACCGTTTTTCTTCTAAGCTGACTAGCTGCTGTGAAGCCCCAGTTATCTCTATCAGCTTGTGAGAGAGAAGAATGGGACTCGATCCATCAGAGCTTAGGACGAGAGCTTCTTTTAAATTTCCCACCTCCCCCACTTCTGGTTTCTCTCCTTTCTGACAGGTTTCAGAGTAGCAGCCGTGTTAGTCTATATTCGCATAAAGAAAAAGAGTACTTGTGGCACCTTAGAGACTAACAAATCTAAGGTGCCGCAACTACTCCTTTTCTTTCTCCTTACTGAGCGGTCTAGTGCCCCCAGCTGGCAGGTTATGTACAGAACTAAACATTCCCGTGCCAGCTCTCCAAAATGGGCTTCCAAACTACAACTGATGCTTTGGGCCCTAACATTCCATCATCCAGCTTCCAAAAACTCTTTTTGTTAGAATAGCTCGGATGCTGCAGGAATGGAAGGATTATCATCCACTTTGTTCCTGTTATACTACCACTCCTTTTAGCCACCTCCCTTAATATCTGCTCTTTCTCTTGTGTTGGTTGTGTGTGAAGTAAGAGAGGGAATCTGCCCAAGTCCAGATATTTCATCTCCAGACAAGAGCCTTTGTGTGTATATTTCTAGGGTAAAAGGCGACACACCAGTTTAGGGATACAAATCACCAGTTTAGGTTGATTACAAATGCTTCATGGAACTCTCATGTTTTCTTGAGCAAAGAAATTGTTTCAATTTTTAAGCACCGATCATGCAAAGACATATGTATGTGCTTAACATTATGCTCTTTGAGTAGTCCAATTGGCATATTTAAAGTTAAGCATGTTGTATATAAGTGTTTGAAAAATTGAGGTTTTAAACTGGATTTCCGTTAGCTACCAACTTGGACAAATACTGTTAGCAGGTTCTGTCCCCAGTGATGATATGAACTGTAGTCTCAGCTGACCTGATTTGAGTGTAGGTTATATTCCACTGGCACCTGAAAAATGTAACCTGTGTATTAATTATGTGAATTAAATAAATTAAAGACTGAGGATGTCCCGAGATGTTAACTCCCCGGGCATAGTAATTGAAATATATAGTCTGTGAATGTCTCGGTAGGAATAATGCAAACTTTATGTGCTGTGGAGGATTTAAATGCACCAGACTGCACAAAAAAACACAAAATCTAAAACTCCAGAAAGCCCACAATTTTCTGTAGGTGGAGAGAGAAGCCTCAGCCCTCTGG